TATTGTAAATAAATAAATAAAAATTATTGTAAGTAAATATATAAAGGAGAGATCTGACTCATAATTAAAGCAAGTAGAAGCAGCTGCTAAGCAGTGGATGACAAAGCTAAGTTTAACACACTCCCACATTGCCAGCAAAATACATACATTCAGAGAGGACTGATAATGGGCTATACGCAAGAAGCTTATCAGGCCGTTCTCTATACGACAGTGGACTGCTTGAAGTATAGGCAAGATTTTGCCAGTCTATACAATATAGCAAATGATGGCTTGGCGCCCTCTAACCCTCTACAGAGCAAGCGCAAAGTGCAGTTTGTCATTTCAGATGAATCAGCAAACTATGATATGCCTCAGAGGAGAAAAGGAGCAAGTATGAAAGAAGACACAAGCCAGAAACACCTTGAAGGAATATGACACCAAAATACAGTTCACAATTGTGCTCAAATTAGGCTAGTATTCTACTATATTATGTTGTTTTTATTTCTGGCATTAGAAATTAGAATTGATCTATATAAAAAATCCTTTCAAAATTAAACGTATTGTACTTACCTTATGCCTGCACTTAAGTACAACTCCATAGGCTCCTAGACCACCATTTAACAGAAGACGACAGCAAAGGAGGAGGAGAAGAAATAGAAATAATTAGCTACCAGCATTCAGGAAAACCATTTCATACCTTTATATTAAATTTGAGCTATCATTAGGCCAGAGGCAAGAACACAATAGCCAATATCTTGTTGTTTAGCACAGTAAATTGCACTATAGTAGGCAATTTGAATCAATGGGGTTTTAGTGAGTCAACTCACTCATAAACTGTATTGATTCAAGTGGGCCTGCTCTGTGACTTACTATCCTATAAATCACAGTTCAAATGGGCCCATTTGAATCAATGTAACTTACAGTGGACTCAATATATTCCTGGCGAGTCCATGGACCTATTCCACTGGAGGCAAACCTTTTTTGGCTCGAGTGCCCAAAATGAGGGGGTGGGGAAGAAACCAGAGGCTGCCATGCCGTCCGGAAGACCAGAACCGGAACAGAAAGTGGCAGTTTCAGGGGGAACCATGGGGACGGACAGGAAGTTAAAGGGGGAATCTTGGCGACGGACAGGAAGTTAAAGGACCCAGAACAGGAAGAGAAAGGGGAAATCCCAGCTGCAACCACTTCAAAAGGTTTGTTTCCACAACGGTGGGTGGGCGGGCCACTCACTTGCATGCCAGAAAAAAGGGCTTCGTGTGGCAGATGTGGCACGCGTGCTATAGGTCTGCCATCACTGACCTATTCTAATGCAGCTGACTATGCTAAACAACAGACTTTTGGCTACTGTTTCAAACTGCATCACACTACCGTGTTTCTCCGATAATAAGACCTTTTCAAACTGCATCACACTAGCAAATACAGAAAACTGGCTAGTGAATTCTTCTTGTATTTCATTTATTTCCTCATATAATACAATTATTCTATATATACAAAAAACATATATGGGACCATATATCCCCTTGGCAGACTCTTCTTATCTGCTCAGAGCTCCCATGCCCCACATTAGTTTGTTCTCTTCTTTGAAATGCAACCTTGAGCTCCTGAAGAAAGTAACTAAAAAGAAAACATTCAGGTGATGATTAGAACATAACTTTCAGGCTGCAATGCACTGATAGATTCACATGCACATGTTTTGTTATACTTTTATCTGTTTTAACCTTTCCCTGAACTCTTCCAACACTTGGCCTTTACACCACTACTCAACTGTCCCTTTCTCTCTACTTTCAACAATAGCAAACACCACTCTTCCTCCTTCAACTGCCAATCCACTTTTTAACTTCCTTCTGTGGCATTCCCTAGGCTATGATAGTTGAGTCTAAGAGAAGGTGGGTGTCACTGCTGTCTGTCACATATTTTATTACTTGAATGAGCAAAATTCAAAAAGGAATAAAACACATAGATACATATGCACACAAACACAATTTTGGTTTCCAGTGATACTGCAGCGATCTGGAAATAACCAAAACTAATACTGAAATATTTATTTTGGAGGATTGTAGCATAAAATCAAGTTGACATAAGATTGTATGAAAACAATAGAACTACAGTGGTGCCTCGCTTAACGAGTGCCTCATTTAGCGATGAATTCGCATAAAGAAAATAATATGCACCATTTAACGATGTTTCCTATGGGCGATTTTCGCTTAGCGAAGTTTGGGACCATGCTTCGCATAGCGAATGCGTTTTTAGGTCCCCTGCTTCACATAACAATGTTTGTTTTGTTCATTTTAAAAATTGTCTTAAAATGGTCAAAAACGGTTCTAAATGCTTGGATTCGTTAGAGCACTTTCTAAAACGGGTGCAAACTTAATTTGGCTTTGATCTGACTTGTCGTTAATTTTTGCTGAATTTTTTTCTCCCCCATAGGAAATAATGCAGCTGCCAAAATTTGACAGCTCCATTGTTTCCTATGGGGGAGGAAAAAATTCACAAAAATTTAACGAAGACTCAGAACAAAGCCAAGCTTAGTTTGCACACGATTTAGAAGGTCCTCTAACGAACCCAAGCATTTAAAACAGTTGCTGACTTTTCGTTAATTTTTTTGTGAATTTTTTTCTCCCCCATAGGAATTTTGACAGCTCCATTGTTTCCTATGGGGGAGTTGGTGGGGGAAGAAAATAATTGAGCAAAAATTAACGAAAAGTCAGATCAAAGTCAAATTAAGTTTGCACCCGTTTTAGAAGGTGCAGAAGCTATTCCAAGCATTTAAAACCGTTTTTGACCCTTTTATGACACACTTAAATTTGCAAAAATTGACTTTGCTAAACCATTGAAAAGCACTGAAAAGGCTTCAATGCATTCCAATGGGGGAAACATTGTATCGCATAACGATGTTTCCAATGGGTTTTTTCGCTTAAGGTTTTCAATGCATCTCTATGGGAAAACGCGTTTCACATAATGATGTTTCCCATAGCGATGTTTTTTTGAACCAATTAACATCGTTATGCGAGGCACCACTGTAAGTGTGTAATAGAATTTTTTAGAATAATCAACATCATTGCATCAGTGAATCAGAAAGCTTATACAATTCAGCGTTAATACTGATTTTATTTTATATTAATGTATCAAACACCACATCATAAATCAATAATCATCATATACTGATTTAAATGGTGGCCAGGCTTTTTATGAGTTTTACTCAAAGTAAACTCTTCCATATATTTCATTGATTCAAGTGAGCCCATTCTAATTATAACTACCATGCTAAAAAGTAAGGTCATTGGAATCAATGAAACTTATACAGTGGTGCCCTGCAATACGACGACCCCACAAAACGACGAAACCGCATTACGACGACTTTTTTGTGGTCGCTATAGCGATCACAGAACAATGGTTCCTATGCGGGAAATCCGCTTGACGCTGATTAGGTCCTTGCTTCACGAACCATTTGTTCGCTAAACGATGATTTTTCCGGCTCCGCAAAATGGCTTCCCTTCACAAAATGGCTGGCTTCCCTTTGCAAAATGGGTGTTTTCCGGACAGAAGCTTCGCAAGATAGGGATTTTAAACAGCTGATCGGCGGTTCTCTATGGGCAGTCTCCACTGGACGAGGAGGTATTTCCCCCTTGGAAAGCATTAACAGGTTTTCAATGTATTCCAATGGGGATTTTTTCGCATGACGACGATTTTGCTGTACAGCGATTTTCCTGGAATGGGTTATCGTCATGCGGGGCACCACTGTATAGGCATTGAATCAAACTCCTACTGATTCAATGGGCCTACTCTGTTTGTAACTTACCACTGGATTTCAGCATGTGGCTAAAATCCTATTCCTTAGCAAAGTAAACAGCATCAGAGTAGGCCCCTGTATCAACAGGGATTGGGTGAGTCAGCTCATCCATAAGTTGCAGTGATTCAAATGCACAGTAACTCACAGGCAGAACAGGTCCATTTGGATTAATGGAACTTATAGAGGAGCTGACTCACCATATCCCCATTGATTCAGTGTGTCTACTCTAATGCTATTTATTACACTAAGCAACAGGTTTCTGGCCAGTATGTTCTTTAAAATGGTAAAACCTTAGAAAAGAATAATGTGTGCTACTAGTAAATATCAAACTATTTTTGTTGACTTTAGTAGCTAGCCAAAGCTGTCTGAGAAAGCTGCTAGAACCCAGCATAATTAATGAAGCAAGTTCTGAACCCTTCTTTAGCTCCAAGCTCAATAGACAGGCAAATGTTTCTTCTAACCCTAGTCAAGTTCTGGAAGATACCTAGCAAGCAATGAGAAGCCTTCTAGATTTGTTACTGTCTCTGCAATCAAAGAGAGGTTCCACCTTTCTCTAGACTCCATAGATGTGTTTGCCAGCAATGAACGTAGTTCTGGGAATCTGATAATACAGTGGTGCCTCGCTGGACAGTTACCCCGCATGACAGTTTTTTCGTTAGACATTGACTTTCTGCTATCACTATAGCGATTCGCAAAACAGTGATTCCTATGGGGGAATTTCGCTAGACAGTGTTTGGTCCCTGCTTCGCAAACCGATTTTCACTAGATGACAATTTTGACAGCTCCCTCCGCGCTCGCAAAACAGGTGTTTTCAGGACCTAAGCTTCGCAAGACAACGATTTAAACAGCTGAACGGCAGTTCGCAAAGCGGCTTTCCTATGGCCGATCTACGCTAGACGACGATTCTTCCCCATTGGAATACATTAAACAGGTTTCAATGCATTCCAGTGAGGAAATGCTTTTCGCTGGACAATGATTTCGCTAAACAGCAATTTCAGTGGAACGGATTATCATCGTCTAGTGAGGCGCCACTGTATTCTGTTCCAAGTTGAGCAATACAAGAAAAGCAGAAAGAAGTGGAAAAAGTAAAGGAAATAAACCAGGAACAGCTAACTTCCAGAGGTCTGGGAACCAAACATGACCACCCATAGAACTTGGAGGGATGCACCCACTCTTGTATCCCCCCCCCCAAAATAGTTTTCTTTTCTTTTTTTTAACTGGAAAATCTTCCTGATGCCTTCAGTTGCTACTGGGAGCAACTGCAACATTTTTTACAGCTCCTGAGCTCTTCTGAATGACTTCTAGTTTTGAAACAAACCCCTTCTCTTCTTAGCAAACCTCCTTTTTCTGGACAAGGTGTTGGAACGTGTGCTGGCTGAGCAGCTCCAGACTCTCCTGGAAGAAATGGATTATCTAGATCCATTTCAATTGGGTTTCAGGCCGGGTTATGGGACGGAAACTGCCTTGGTCGCCCTGTTTGATGACCTTTGCCGGGAGAAAGACAGGGGCAATTCATCCTTCTCAGCGGCTTTCGACACCATCGACCACAGTGTCCTTCTGGACAGATTGGCTGGGATAGGAATGGAAGGCACTGTTTTACAGTGGTTCCGCTCCTACCTGGCTGATAGAGTCCAGATGGTGGTGCTGGGGGACAGTAGCTCTGATCCATGGCGGTTGCGTCATGGGGTTCCTCAGGGCTCTATACTGTCCCCCATGCTATTCAACATCTACATGAAACCGCTGGGGGAGGTCGTTAGGAGGTTTCGGCTGAGGAGTCAGCAATATGCTGACGACAACCAGCTCTACCTCTCTTTTTCTACCAATCCAGGTGTGGCAGTCACCGTTCTGAACTCGTGCCTGGATTCGATAATAGTCTGGATGAGGGTCAATAAACTGAGGCTCAATCCAGACAAGTCAGAAGTGCTGCGGGTAGGTGCCCCGCCAGATAGGTTAAAGGGCCATTTCCGTGCCTTAGACGGGATTACACTCCTCCTAAAGGACAGGGTCTGCAGCTTGGGGGTGCTCCTTGACCCCAGTCTGACCTTAGAAGCCCAGGTGGACTCGGTGTCCAGGGGTGCCTTCTTACAGC